AAAAAGATCGGTGACCCCCGTTTTTTAACTGATAATTTATTTCTTTAATGCATTTTACATTTCATATCCGAAATTAAAAGAAAAATCATTTCTGGATCTTGAAAAAAAATGCTTTATCAATGCATGTTCTCAAAGAAAGATATGTAAAGAAATGTGCAAAAGACATAATTTGTGGATCAAAATTGTACACGTTAGTAGTTTCATTTTGCACAAAACACAATATTTTTTCAAAAATAATTACAAGATAGGTTTACTAAAACAAAATCCGTGCTAAAAACGTCAATAAATATCGGGCTGTTTGCTGTTACTCATAATGAGCGTCGACCAAGATGGCGCCATATTGGGGTATAGGTGGTATATTGTGATTGTCATATCTTCTTAATGAGTTAGGTGACCCCGACATTTTTGTGTGATTTTACTTAAACTACATATATCATAAACTCCATGCCTGGGAAGTTTCAGCACATTCTCATTTCGGGAACAATTACTGCAGAATTACCTTAACAGGTAAAATCATCTGGCATTAGACAGTAAAATAATAAAGTATGGTGCATTTGGACCCATTGCAGTTTAATGGGTTAAAAGTCTAATATTTAATATTTGACAGTTGAAGTCACTACAGGTGCAGACCTGCCAAGGTTCTCGCATTTGGTGTGCGTTTGTTCCCGCTGTCCCGCACGCATAACTAAAATGATCTTAAAGTTATGCATTTTTACCATTATATGACAATAACTCATTGACAACGCTGTGTGCAAACGTAGAATTAGCGTTAACAATCGACCAACCAAATAAAGACGTTCAGACGCATCGTGGCCTGCGGTAGATGGCCAAATACGCTTTCTGACGATCTGGAGACTCCAAATTTCCAAAATTTTCTCAATTTTCCTAGTCACATTAAACTGTAAGTAACACTGTCATATTGATCAGTAGTTATTTTACTTATCTTCATTGTTAGGCAGTAGTAAAACATTGAAATCTTGGGTTAAGGGACTAGGAAAGACTCTTAAAAATGCTATTTCCGACGGTCTAGAGAATTCAAATTTTCAAAATTTTTTGCTCAGCACCAACCATGATAGCGCCTTGCGGGCGTCGCAAAATCAAGTGAATTGAAACAATTCAGGCGGTAAATCTAACCTCTTCCCCCCCTTCCCTCCAAAGGCGAAGTCCTCGCAACGGCCCTGGTCACACATTCTTATCTTCCGAACTTGGCAGGTCTGTAGGTGGTGTGCAAGTTAATGTCACCGTCGCCATGTTGGATCACATTGACAAAGGATTTTGCTTGTTTGCAATGCAAATATCATCCAACATGGTGAAAATGTCCATTGAATCCCATAGAAGTGGCTGCACATCATCTACTGTATTGAACCCAAGTGACTGTAAAATAACAAGCTTTTGTTGGTACTGGGATGAAACTACCTGAAAAATATAGAATTTCACATATCTTTCAGCAATTCTTGCTGGTCGTTATAAAGTGATTGCAAAAGTTGGAGAGGGACAGTCTTCAGTGCTGGTTAAAGCTGAGGTGACAATAATTTCTTTATATTTTCATTTTCGTCCCTCGTCACTCCCTTTTTTGTTTGTTCGTTCAAGTTTTTTTGTTTGTTACTTCATATGGCTGTTATCATCAGGGGTAGAAAAAATAGGAGAGCATGTGAGCACTGCTCGCAGGAAATGTTAAACAGCTGCAGGAAATTTGTTTGAATGAAGATTTGCTATTGAAAATTTGAAGGAAACCTTAACATCCACGTCCCGGGCCACTATGGGCGCAACAACATATGGTTGACAGACATTATTCCTTGAATGTAAAACCATATTTGGCTGGAACACTATATATTTATGCACATGCAGATTTAGCACAAAAATACTCCATTGGTCTGTAGGGAATTTTTGTCTCCAGGTTGTGCTCCCAGGAAGAAAATGATTTTTTCCTGCTCTGGATATCATAGGCAGACTCATAATTTTGTTATGTCAAGTATTTTTTTTTTTAATAATTTCTTAGGACATATTTCATCCAAACGAGAGGCATGTGGCAATAAAAATTCTCCATGCAAGCTACTGCAATTTAGGCCCACAGGTACTGTGACATTGATAAAAGCATTGTTTGCAAGCTTTTAAAATGTGTTACTCGATACTTCTTCTTTTTCTACTTTGTGTAGGAAGCAAGTTGTTTGCTTCATCTGAGGAAAGCTGACACGCTGAAAGTGGCAAATATTGCCCATATTCTGGTAGAATTTTGCTCGTTTTGCATTTTCAAATAAATTCCATTGGAAATCATAGGATATTAAAATTTGTTATTCGTATAGCTAGGTTACAAATGCTGTTTGGAAAAAAGTTGGTGCATTTCAGATTAATTTTTGATAATGAAAATAATTTTTTTTTTCTGTTAGAACACATTCACAGTTGGTGAGCATTTCTGCATTGTCTTTGAATTCCTTTTGCCACTACCGCTTTACAAATATTTCCAGGTAAGTGTTGTAATACATTATTTAGACTTTTAGTGCATGTAATTTATTATAGAATAATTCTACAGTAATCTGAGTGAGAGATTGATTGTCACTATAATTAGCTTTCAAATTTTTGTCATTTATAATCCATCAATGACTTTTCTTTTTTAATAGATGTTTTCTTTTCCAAGCAAGGTAGATTGTGATGGTTTTTATTGTGTGATAACTGGGATGTTTCTGGTGTTTTCGGCTATCATGTTGTAAAATGTAAATTATAACAATATATGCTGTTTTTAGGCGGAAAAGATAAATTTGATACGAAGGATTGGGTTCCAGGTGAAAATATTTTGATTGTAACATTCATTACAAATTAGACTGCGTAAAAACTGAAAAAGACAAACGACAAAATTCGTAACAACGAAATCTTTCTCTTTTCAATAGGTTACACAATCCTTGGCAGTGTTATCAAGGTGATTTAAACTAAAGGCTTTCCTATCACAAAAAATCTGATTTTTTATTTCCTTTGCCCATTCCATATATCTCCCATATTTCGTCATATTTCCTAACATGTATTGTACCAATTATGTTTATAGTCTAAATATTATCCATTGTGACGTCAAACCAGAAAACATTCTGTTTACCGACGGTAAATATACATCATATTGTGTTACGAAACTTTCAACTGTGACACAGACTGAGTATTATATATACTAAATGATCTAGCGAATATTTTTAGGAGATAAAAAAGATGTAAAACTCATTGACTTTGGAAATGCTATTTACTGCATCCATGATGAGGTAAGAAGTATACATCAAAACAAAAGATATGGCCTTCATATGAGGCGTAGCGTTTAAGTCCAGAGTCCTGTACAGACAAACGAGTTTTCTTTGACAAGCAGGGGTGAAAAATATACGCGAGCAGTGCTCGCAGGAAATGTTAAACAGCTGCAGGAAATTTGTTTGAATAAAGATTTGCTGTTGAAAATTTAAAGAAATGTATTTGTTTTCAGATGTCGCTGTATTTTGAATCATTTGAGTTACAAACAGTGTTCTACCGAGCGCCAGAGGTCATGTTTGGTCTTTTGTTTGGCCCTCAGATTGATATGTGGTCACTGGGCTGTGTCCTGGCCGAGGTAGATGGATTTCTATATTTCTTGCCGCCATCTGGTGGGTATTCCGAATTTCCCCAAAAAGATTAAAAAACACTTGATTAAAACCTATTCCGATGAAAGCATCGAATAAGTGTTTGATTCTTTTTAAGATAGTTCAGACATAAACCATGGCAGGTTAATATTATAGAGTATGGTCTATCTACATTACACCCTACGTTTTATTCATACGAGATATCTTTTTCAGATAGTTCAGACACAAACCACGACAGTTTATTGCATGTAGAATACTACCTACACTGGACCACCATACATGTTTGTGAATCTTCTTCAGGTAGTTCAGACACAAACCACGACAGTTTATTGCATGTAGAATACTACCTACACTGGAGCATCATGCACGTTTGTGATATCTTCTTCAGGTAGTTCAGACACAAACCACGACAGTTTATTGCATGTAGAAAACTACCTACACTGGAGCACCATGCACGTTTGTGATATCTTCTTCAGGTAGTTAAGACACAAACCACGGCAGTTTATTGTAGAATACTACCTACACTGGACCCCAAAGTTTGAGGCACAAACCACGGCAGATTATTATTGTACGCCACTTACATTGGACTGTCATGTGAAAATAAAATTAGTTTCCTCGATTCATCCTATCTTCCCATATAGGCCGTAATATTTATGTGGGCATGCGTTGTATTGCAGTTTTATCTTGGAGAACCACTGTTTCTTGCGATGTCGAAAGATGAAATTCTGGAGAAAGTATGCATAACTCATTCTGTAAAATATTTTCTACTGGTAACAACATTGTCCATGATCGATATTGCGTTAAAGACGTTCAGATTTGACTTCCACTATCACAACCTTTCACAGGCTAAGCACGCATTTGATTGGTTAATTGGGTAGATTAAACGCAGCTGATTGGTTAATAGTAGCAGTAGTCAAAATCTGAAACTCTCTATATCGACCTTTGCAGCTGTTGTATGATCTATTATAGATGCAGGCATTGCTTGGCCCATTTCCAATGTCTCCGTTTCAAACTGGAAAATATTTTTCAACTTTCAAGAAATTTGTTGGCCGTGTCTCGCCAGTACCAGGTATTTGTGGCATATGTCCAAATTTGTGTGTACTTGAGTTTTTCACTCGTGACTGGTGCGTGTGAGTAATTTAAATACACGTAAAAACGCACAAGTTGTTACAGGTCTGCAAATAAGTTGTTACACATCTGTTCACAAGCTGTCGACAAGTTGTGTTCGCACTGCTTGTTCCCAGTTGTTGGAACAAGTTTGGAACAAGCTGTTAACAACTTGCAACAAGCTTGATGGCATTATCAGACTTGTTACAAGATTGTTCTAACAAGTCTGGTACCGTCATGATATAACACGAATGTTACAAGGTTGACGACACAAGGTTGTAACAATACTGTTGTTACAGGGTATATCATGACTGTATCGGACTTGTTGGAACCGTGCAACAAGTCTGATAATATCAACAAGGTTGTTACAAGTTAAAACAAAAATAAAACAAAAGTTACAAGTTGTTAACAGCTTGTTCCATACTTGTTGACAACTTGGGACAAGCAGTGCGAACACAACTTGATGACGGCTTGTTGGCAGACTTGCTACAAGATGCGAGATTTTTGCGTGTGTAATTGCCTTTTTCTACGTTTCCGTGAACTGAAACTATGTGTTCGTATAGGTTTCTCGAAAAATGTTGTGAATATTATGAAGAAATTGGGATCAACTGATTATGTCTTCGCTGACTTCTTGGCAAAACTGCTTACCTTCGATCCCAGTAAGTGAAATTATGAACAAGAAGTATAAAAATATTTCAAAGTTGTAAGTTATAACTTTCTTTTCAAATGTTCAAAATTACAGATTTACGCCTCTCTCCAAACGAAGCATTGCGACACCCATTTTTGGCGCCCGAGTGTACAGTGGGTTTCATGTTACCACCTGGATATATGACACAAGGTATGTTGTCAACAAGTCACTGGCGTTATTTAACAGGAGCTCAACTAACCTCTCAGGGCTCGAAATAGCGGCCTGCCAATGGCCAAAAGCAGTTCATATTTTAGAAGTGGCAGGAAAAACAAATTTGAACTGCCAAAGTAAAAAAAATGTCAGGTGAAATTCTGTAGATATATTTCATTTCATTTGTTTAGCACCACAACTCATATATACTAGATCATTTAGTTGACTAAATAAATACGTTTATATATTTGAAATGTAAATCCAAGTTTACTGTAGTAAAATAGACCAGTTTAAAAACACTAAAAATGCATATCATAAAAGCATTGATTTTTACAATATGACTCATATGAGACATCGCCATTTTGGCAGTTCAATGAATAAAAATGGCAGGCTGAAATTTATTTTTCCTGCCAAAAAAATTTAGTCTGGCAGGCCATATTTTTTCCCTACTTCGAGCCCTGCTTCTCTAAACATGTTGTTCACATTTTCTAAACTTTATCTTGTTTTTCTTTCCAGAATCAACATACTCCCCTATTCTTCTCACTCCAGCCACGTATCCACACCGGCCCAAAATTGACGAGGACATTAAGAAACTTCGTTATTCCGAACTGGATTTACTTCGCGTTGGCACACAAGCCAGCACGATGAGCAAAGCAGATAATGTTATGAAAGTTTTACCTTTTAATTATCAAGAGGAGTCCTCGAATGAGAATAAGGAAGAGAAATGCATAGTTAAAAATGAGAGCAACGCCGAGGGAAGGGAATCTAGAAACACGGCTGGAAAGAATACGGCAGAAAGGTTTGGTAATAATGAAACGGCTGGTATATTTGGTGTTTCGATCGAAAATAAGAGTCACGATGGATGTCCAGTGGATCGCAGAGATAATCCCTATAATGAATCGTGCAGTGTGTTACACACGACTAAGGACACACGTGCCATATCCGTTAAAGAAGATCAAACATATAATGATTATGGCGATTCTTGTAGTGTGGTAAACTTGGTCAAAGATACAAAGTTGTTACAGGGCTCTGCGATAAGAGGTCATAAAGACAAAACGTTCGGCGTAAACACCACCAACGAAACATGTTCTTCTGCACTTTTTTCCAAACACGATGAGAGAGATAAGCCTTTCGACCCTAACGAATCGTGTAGTATATCAAACGCAATCAAGGATCCAAGCTCTTTCACAACTCCTATGAAAGGAGGTCAGAGAGACGATGCTTTTGACGAAACCTGTATGGTGTTGAACACAGCCAAAGACAAATGTTTGTCTACCCTGTTTGCTAAACAACACGAGAGAGATAACCCTCTTAACGAGTCATGTAGTGTATTAAACACAATCAAGAATTCGCTTTCTTTAATAGTGCACAAAGGAAGGGGGGAGAATGAGAAACATGGCCGAAAGTTTGTCCTACGTAGATCATCAAAGAATCGTCGTCGAAGAGATTCAGAAAGAGAAAGCAGGTCTACCGTTTCAAGAGAAGACAACAAAGACTTCAGAAAACCTTACAATGCACAGAGTATGTCACCAGCTAAACTTAGTGATGCACAGGACAAGTCACCGGTTAAATTTATTAACGATCACGAAGTGTTGTTGGTTAATCTGTCTGAGCCAAGAGATATTACCAGAACAGCAAATTCGTCTCCGGTTCGAAGGACCAGCGGTGGCATGCCGAAAGGTAGTGCAGACAAAAAGTTAAATGAGAGTAGCAGTATTATTCCCCACCACAAAGGTTCCTCAAGAAAACACAGCGATAAAGAATCAAATTCTGCTGCCATACCTCCGACTCGAAGGACCAGCAGGCATGATGAAAGAACGCCAGAAAACATGCGAAGAACTGCTGCCAACAGAGTAGTCGAGGATAGCGTAACTGCTACTCGCAAGGCTGCCTACAGAAGATCATCGAGCGAGACTAGCTATAAAGAAATAAAGTCTGCCACACCTCCGACTCGAAGGACCAACAAATTTAAATTTAATGAAGAAATATCAGAAGACATGCCAAAAACCGCTGCAAACAGAGTAGTTGAGGATGACGTAACTGCTACTCGCAAGACTGCCTACAAAAGATCATCGAGCGAGACCAGCTATAAAGAAACAGATTTTGCCACACCACCGACTCGAACGACCAGCAAATGTGATGATAGAATACTTGAAGACATTCAGAAAGGAGCAGCAAACAGAGTAATTGAAGATAATGTAACTGCTACTCGCAAGACTGCCTACAAAAGATCGTCGAGCGAGACCAGCTATAAAGAAACAGATTCTGCCACACCATCGACTCGAAGAACCAGCAAGCTTGATGAAGAAATACTAGAAAACATGCCAAAAAGCGCTACGGACCGAAAAGTGGACGGGATTAATATAATTGTTTCTCCCAAGGCTACGCACAAAAGCACTTCGAGCGAAACCAGCGATGAAGAGACATCTCCGGCTCGATGGAGCATAGGTCGACAAAATAAAAGAGCAAAGTCAAGCGCAATCGAGATGAAAAGTCTGGGAAACTGTGCTGAGGAAAGCGGTGGCAAATCCAGGAATGAAACTTGTGTATCCAAAACCAAAGATAGACCCAACCCCTCTGCTGTTGGCAGAAGAAAATGTAAGAAATCACAGCAAGTTCTATCATCTGGAGTGAAAGATGATGCACAAACGAAACCAACATTACCAACAATATCACACCAAACCAGAGACGATGTCTCGACTACGTGCAATAATTATCAAGATCTCTTTTCTGTTACTTCAAGCAGTAAACAAGTGAATGCGGACAGTTATCGTAACGCGAAGAAACCTGTGTCAACTAAACTTTCAGTTTTAGAATCGTTTTTTGATACTTTATCAGACGATGAAACAAATCTTGTTTCTTCGAGTACCAATTCAGGAGAGTTACGGATAAAAACAAAAGGTATTTCCAAGAGATCTGTGCCTACAAATTCAAAAGTATTAACTAAAAATGAGAACAGTTCTTCTAGTGAGAAACTAACGCCTATTAGTTCTAGTATCAAACAAGATAAGTTATCGCAAAAGAGTTGTAGTAATGGCAACAGACATGAGCTCGAAAAACTATCAAACTTCCAAGCATTTTCGGAAGATACGAGCAGCACGTCAAGTGAGGAAGTAATGCTTATTACATCTAGCAATACACAAGATGAACTACCACCAAACAGTGGTAACAATTGGAAAAGAAGTAAGTCCCCAAAATCGTCAATTTGGAAATCATTATCTGAAGATAAGAATAGTTCTTCTGGGCTGGAAGTGACTCTTGTTACATCCAGCAGTAAAGAAGGTAGATTACATGCGGCAAACAGCAGTAACAATGGAAATAGAACGAACTCTGCGAAGTCATCAAACCTCCAAGTATTTTCTGAAGATAAGAACAGTTCTTTTGACGAGGAATTAACGTTTGTTATCTCCACTAATACACAGGATAAGTTACAGACGAAGAGCATCACTAATGAGAAAGGAGCCAAGTCCCAAAAATCGAAGAATGTCCAAGCGTTTTCAAGAGACAAGAACAGCTCTTTTGGCGAGGAAGTAATGCTCGTTACATTCAGCAACACACAAGATAGACGGCTGGCAAGGAGAAGGAATGATGACAACAGAAATATGTCGGCAAATTCTTGGAATTTTCAGTCCTTTTCTGAGGGCTGGACGAGTTCTTCAGGCAGTGAATCGAAAATAGTTACATCTAGTATTAACCAAGGTAACAAGAGCATTGGCAATGTTTCATCGCTCGAACACAAGGAGAAACCCAGAACACCAAATTTCCAGAAGAAAGAGTCGGTATTCGATACTCCAATGCCGTGTAGTCTTGTGAGGTCAACTGGAGAGCTGTTACCAGGGGGCTTATCTGAAGTTAAGAAAACGATTTGTCGAGCTGAAATGGAGCAGGACAATTCACTGTATGAAATCCATGATATCCTCCAAGCACGGCTAGTTGGCGATGCAGATATGTTGAATGAAGAAAAGCAAAATACTGAAAAATCTGGGGAAACGTACACGAGGTACAACTATACTTCGCCAAAACAAAAGACTGAAAGAGTGTTCTTAGAAAGGAACAGTCAATTGGTTAAAGGTGGTCAAGTACTGAAGAATGAATCGCAGGATTCGAAAAGAGTTTCAAAGGAGAAAGGCAACAGAAATTTACCTGAAGAGATGGATACTTCTTATCCTAGGGATATTTTAACACAAGAAGCAGTCAAACAGCCAAGAAAGCGAAAGCTTGAGTATAGTACTGTAAATTCACCTGGAAAATCACACACCATGTTCTGTTTAGAAAGTTTAAAGGATAGACAGAGTCCGAAGATTCAAAAGTTACCTGATGATTCTGATGACGATTATGTGAGTTATATACCAACTTTTAGAAATAGTCGTAAAGGACTTAGGAAAATTTTATTCCCAGATAATCCTTTTGTTTAGGCATTCATGCACTTAATAAATTGCATCGAATGTAAAGGACAAAAGGGAAAGCAAAAACAAGATAGTTCAGATTGCAAACTTCAAGTTTAGTCATGTAATCTGTACTTAATTTATCTTGAACATTTAATTATATTTGAACACCTTGCTTGTAAATTGATTATATACATCGTAATACTATGGATCAGTGGCGAAGCCAGCCCCACAATTTGGCCATGCTATGTGAATATTTCCGTGTTCATACACCGTCAAAACAATCAATTTCTTAAGAAATGAATAATGATGATTTAAACTTTGCATAGCATGACAAAATTGTCAGGCTGGCTTCGCCTGCACTGCTGGATGAAAAGTAAAAACACACTTACCAATCAGTAAACAAATGATATAACTGTATTTCAAATTACTTTTTTAATCACAGTATTGTATATTTTTCTATTTTGCAGGACGTTCTGCTCTTATGAAAATTCTTAAAAGATTTTCAAATCACAATACTGTAAGTTTAATTTATTTAAAGTAATATTATTGTAATATATTTGAACTAAATTATTTGAACTGTGAGGTGTTAGCTATTAGTTTTGAGAAGAAATCGATGGAAACAGTTAGAGGAATTGCTTGGTATTATAATCATGTACATATTTTTATACTATTTATAAATACGATAGGAAACCGGGTAGAATTGCAGACATTTTTAATGCTCACAGGATGTTATCCTAAGTGTCTATTCATGGGTTAAAGTTCCAAGCGCCATAAATGTACAGCATGATCACCCCCAGCAGCGCAGATAGGAAGCCGACTGTGCCAAGATAGACCACCTCCAACTTTTAAGTTTGCCGTGACTGGATTCTAAAAGAACCATGGTAATAAAAAGATTTGTCATGCTTCAAAGTCCGTTTACAACACGCGCAATTTTGGTACCCGTATACCATTTTTATCCGAGCCATACCAAAAATTGAGTGTAGTGTAAACGGGGCTTCAGAGGACATGAAAATAGTATGAAAATATTTTTGCCAATGGGGTACATACCTTGTGATGACCAACTTGAAAAACCTTGACCTGGTTTCCAGGACGACCTGACGTGGCAAATATTCCATCAGTTAGCTTACACCACCTAAATACAAGACAACAGGATAAAGGAATATTATCTTGTGCTTTCTTACTAGCAGTAAATACTACTATACCTTTACCTGAAAAAAACAACTGTAGTCACGACTCATGAGCATTTACCTGAAGCTACAAGCACCTTCAATATGGGCTTCTTTGCTTGCTTGTGGAGAACTGAAAAGTGATCATTAATATGATTTAATACTTTATTAGTTTGTTTTTGATTAGGTAAAAACACAAATACTTAGTATTCAACGTCAGGAATGTGAAAACACACAGAAATCCCACATCATTCTATCAAGATGTGTTTTATAACAAATGTCGGTGGCATACTGGTTAGTGCATGACATTGTGTTTTTCACTTCCATGACGAAAGTTGGATTTCTGCAATATATATAGTACAAAAAATTCCTACAGGAATTCCTACAGCATTTCCTATCAGATTGTGGCCAAAATTCCTATAGGATTTTTTGTGACCTCATTATAACTCATTATAACCTCAGTCACATGCATATATGAGGAGACTACTTTCAGTAAGCAAAATTCAACCAACCACTACTGGTTCTCGGAGTATTTCAATTTCTTTAGTAACATTGTGCCAAAGATTCCTTCCTAAACCTCTAAACTGACAGAGCCTTAGTCGGCCTAGTTCTACCTGTATTGAGATATATCCCAAATCTCCCACTCATTCGAAACTACTCCTCCAACTCTGATTGGATTAGCTGTTGACCAATCAACACATTTCAATGGTGACGTTAGGGTACTGAATGACATGAACGGCCGCTGGCTAACAATATCGTATATTCGTATAGTTCCATTTTTCTGTGCCACCAGTAACTGTTTGAAATAAAAACAAATCAAGTACCCAACCTTCAGTAACATTCCAGGGATGGATTTACTGGGGGGGTGCACCCCCTGGCCAGGGGGGTGGTGCTATTTTTCATGATAAAGCAAAAAAATATTAGAGACAAAATGAAATACAGTAATTTGAGTAACAACATGATGATAAGCGAACTGTGAACAACAATTCAAATTCAAATACAGTAGTTGATGGGTAGGGCGGGCACATGATCAACACAACTCGGCACCAGAGCTGGCAGAGCACCCCCTACCAGATCATGCTGGATCCATCCCCGTAACACTCTGCTTTAAACTCATTGGTAAGCTAGTAGCTGGATAATCCTATTTATCACTGAGCTTTCAGCATTTTGAAAAAAAGCTTATAGATCAATGGAAATGCATGTCTACATTCAGCCACCTTATTTGGTTCATTAGGAATCCACTTGACAGAAACACCAGGAGAAGTTAAATGGAACAACGCTGTTTCTTGACCACTTTCAACATCCCACATACGACATGTGTGGTCATCTACATGAAAAAATATACCCCAGTCTACCAAATGTGGCATTATTTTCTGGGTACGGTTTGACAGACAGGTTAAAGTGACAGAGCTATTGTGTAAATAAAGAACTTTACTTTGGTTCATATTGAACTAACAACTATTAAATCTGTGACAATGTCCAAGATAAATAAAATGCAGATTACATGACTGAACTTAAAGTCTGCAATCTGTTGAACTAATTATCTTGCTTTTAATTTCCCTTTTGTCCTTTACATTCAGTGCAATGTAGAAATATGTATGAATGCCTAAACAAAAGGTCAGTTTACTATTTCTTGTTGCAAAATTTAGGTGGGGTAGGTCAGATTTTTGTTAATTGTTTATTTGTTTTTATAAATGCTCTTGCATGAGAATGATATTCTATGTTGATTATTATGGCAGCATGGATGACACATTCAAACGTTTGTAAAACTTTGAAACAAAGTAACCCTACTGGACCTCTAAGTAAAGCTGCATCCAATATGGATAAGTTAGCTTAGGTTAGGTTTCCTCCTGTAGTAACATTGACAGAGTTTAGAACCTGGAATCTTTGGATAAAATGAAGATACCTACCACTAACGCTAGCAATGGCATCGCCTTGTAGTGGATTGAAAACACAATCATTTATGTAACTCTCGTGACCATCCAACATTTGAACTGTGGAGTTATCCCTTAAATCAACAGAAAAACATCGCAATTTTTTGTCCCCGCCAGCAGTACAAAACCTAAAAAATACCACGATTTTGCCTCTGTAATATGTATCAATCATGTGGGCAGTCTGTTATTCGGCTGGTATAGGTAATGACCAGTCATCTAGCCAGTCAGGTAGGCGGTATTCGCGGGCACAAGAGAACAGGAATCTTCCCGTTCTCTTTTGCCCGCGAATACCGCCTGCTATGTAGGTTATCAGTTGGTCAATCAGTCAGACATGGAGGTGTGTTACATGTGCAACATAGCATACTTCAAACTTTGTGATTTACCTCAATAGACCAGGGTATTGATCAAGCGAGCTTTGTGGTGACCAAGCGATGGCGTCGACTCGAGCACCATGTGATATATCAACTTGATGCTCAAACTGAAACTCTTGTAAATTTTCATCATCGAAAGAACAAGATCCGATGCATATCCGACTTTCTCCACCGTAGGCAATCAGTTTGGACGTGTTTTGATATGGACTGAATTCGACTGCATTGATTATTTCTGGGCACGCGAAGTAACATGTACTTTCTATTTCTTCGCTAGCGCTGGATCTCCCGGCTCTGGCCACAGGCATCCTACGTACAAGATTGGAGGATTTATGATTTCTCAATGCAAATAATTGTCGATTCTCTGTTCCAAGTTGACATCAAATGCAAAACACCAATCCAGAACATTCGTCATTCTGGCAATAGAGCCTCGCTTTCATGTATGTGACGTTGGACAAAGCCCAACATCTCCAATAATGAAAATGAGGCTCTACAAACTCAGATTGGAAAATACTCCAGATTGGGGATAGTAGTAAGTTACTATATAGAGATCAGTGGCTAAGCTAAGTGAGCATGCAGGGGTGCTTGGGGAGGATGTGACGGAGGAAGCTTCCCTTTCCCATCTTGTCCTCCCCAAGCACCCCTGCACACTCACCCTGATCTCTATATAGTAGCTTAGCACGATTATATATTTTTTCTCTCTAAAGCGGCTGGGTACAAGCCTACAAGGTACAAGGCTGGTAGTAAGATTTTTGTATACACAATAGATCATCATCTTTTTATGAATTTTTAACATAAAACAACATACAATTTGACAATTCAATTTACCCTCTTTGTCTTCTGAGGTCCAAGCTTTAAATTTAAAAGAAAACAAGTTGAATTTTACAATAACTGCACAAACCTTTTATAAGATTTTAAAATTTCCTCCAAAAAGAATAAAAAACATCGCGTGACGGCTCATAATCATTCAGCAGTATCCGCGAAACGTGGTGTAAGATTGCTATAGTAGACATCACTCGTCCAGCGACGTTTTTGGCGGGCAACCGTTAATTCTGTATATTTTAAAATCTATTAAATTTTGCCCTAAATTTTGCTAACAATGGGCTTTAAATGAACAAGAAAATAAAATTACATATAAAACACACAATATATATGATTTTTGCGCCACAAAATAAGGTTACAACAATTAAAATTAGAAAAGAAATTTTATTTCAGTAATTCAAAGTTTGACCGTTTCCCGGTGAAGGCTATTTCAGATACGGTAGAGCACCTAGTCCCCAGGCCTTTACCAGCGCGACCGCGAAATTCAATATGGCGCCAAGCTAAGGAGTGGAGTTTAAATGTAGTTTATATTCTATAATTTCTATTGTTGTTTTTTGATCTTTTTATTCTTTTTGGTTGGTAGAACTTATATTCTGATATGCCAGGTATCTTACTCTTTACCTGATTAATCTGAAAAAAGATTTTATAACAGAATTTTTCTCAAACATAGTTTAAATTAATATCCATATGTTTCAGTGAATTATGCTATAAAAGTAAAAAATAGATTGGCCAAGATAAGAAATTTTTGACACTTTCAACTTCAATTTTGAAAATTGTAATAACAGCCTAGTTTATATTCCATAATCCACAGAGCTTGAAAATCCATGCGGAATGTACAAATTATTGACTTTTTGAGTGAAGTTCTGTTTGAATTTTTCAGGTACTAAGTTATATCTAGTTATTTTGTTATCGTCTCTATCTAGCCTGGCACAGACCATTCAAGATTGCACTGTTTAATTAGCACCAACACTAACAGTCATGGTGGCAGGGATGGATCCAGCATGATCTGGTAGAAGGGGAGGGGGGTTTGATTTGCCAGCTCTAATGCCGAGTTATGTTGGTCATGCATGCCACCCGCCCATCAACTTACAGGTCAAGTCTTGCTTGACTACTGTATTTGAATTGTAATTGTTGTTCACAGTTTGCTTCTTATCATGTTATCGATATCACTCAAATTACTGTATCTCATTTTGTCTCTATAATATTTTTTTGTTTTATCATGAAAAATAGCACCCCCCCCCTGGCCAGGGCTAGGGAGGTGCACCCCCCCCAGTAAATCCATCCCAACATACAGTTGGGTTTATAGGGGGAGGGGAGGGGGGTTGACAGAGGTACACACCCTTGGCCAACAGGGGAGTGTAAAAATCTAAAGGGGGGGGGGGTGCACTTCAAATTTAATTTACCATACATCTGAGCATTTGAGATATTGTATATAATTAGTATTACAAATATATTGCCACCTTGTAACCTTAGATATTTCATGTGGTATGTGTAATTGGGGTTAGTACGCTAAGTATCTTACTCGTCAAGCAATGCCGGGTTCAGAGTCCTCACCTGTCTAAGCAATCAACAATATACAATTTTAATGCCAAATTGTGTGCCAACATGCAAAATGGACTCTGCACAGGTTGTGCACTACCTTTTCATTTCATGCTGGGTGAACATTATCGTGAGGATAGCAAAAAAAAACATATTCACAACTAATGTGTCCTCTTTTACTACTTTTGTAATTATCTTGTTCCATGACCTAAATAAGCTAACACACTTAGTAGCTCATGCTTACCTTTCAACTGGCACATTAGCAATGGCCGGCCCATTTTTCTTTATATTGGTGTCAGGGGTGCAAGTTATTCAATAGGGTACTAACCTTGTATACAGGGCGTTTATATAGAATTAAAAAAAATCTGGGCAGGATGTTACAAGGCCATTGGAAGTAAATCAATATTGGGGGGACTCAAGAATATATCTGAATAAATTTTAATTGCTTTTGCACTTTTCTAGTTATTTTGTGTGTTTTGCTTATACAAATGGAAATTTTAGGGGGCTCAAGCCCCCCACTTCTGACGGCCTTGTGTTACATGTGCCATTGCCAGCTGCCATTAATAGTTTGCAGAATTGTGAAAAATAAATCAATGCTGTAGATTGCAAGTGGTAATGCACTTTCTCCATTGGTATTATAGACATAATACACATAAAATTCCACAAGACCAATTAACTTGGTAATCCTGAGTATTCCATACTCATTGGGAAATCAGTCAGATGCAATTGTACCCACCCTCTGGTCAACCCTTGCCACTAGACGTTTCAGTACCTTTGCCCTGCCACTAGACGTTTCAGTACCATGGTTTATGAACTCAACATTTTATGATTGAATTAGCTCTTCTACTATGATATTTTATGCTCAAGTAAATAGAAAGTTGTACAGCAAGCCGGCTGGAATAATGGTCAGATGTTCACTCCGCAGTGGCATAACTCCTAAGGGCTGTGCCTAGCAAGAGCCAGGGGCCCAGGGGGTGTGCCTTGTCAAGGAAGGTCCCTGGGCTAACCTTTATGCAGTGTTTGGAAAATTTAATTTAAATAATTAATTTAATTAATAAATTAAATTAATAATTAATTAATTAATTAAATTAATAATAATTATTATAAATAAATTAATAATAATTAATTAATATTATTTCGTCTGAGCTCCCGTCAACCTCTCGGTGGCCCTGTTCTTCAATCATTTGAAATGACCTTACACCCCCCTGAAGAATCCCTAAGGATGGCCCTGGGTCAAGGGGGCCCTTCACGGGGAACACTGAGATTTCATCCTACCCATAATTAAGATTCTGGAAAATGAGTACCCCATATGCCCCTAGTGTCTAATAGAATGTGAATTTCAAGTAAGTGACCCAAAAAATAGATTGATTATGTGATCAGCTTTAACTTCTTAAAAACAACTTAAAATCTAACTTTACCCAGAAATAGTTAAATACTTTGCATTCTATGGAATACAAAGCTCATTTGTAACTTACTGTTTGCAATGAGTAAAATTAATATTGTATTATGTAATGTAATCTTCAAAAATTATGAAGGGCCTTAGAACTCCTCTCCCAACTAAAGAAACAAATTAAAGGGGATGGCTAATGGTCCATTACACCCTACTGTTAATGACAGGGATGGCTTTACTGGGGGGTGCACCCCCCTAGCCCTGGCCAGAGGGGGGGTGTTATTTTTCATGATAAAGCAAAAAAATATTAGAGGCACAATAAGATACAGTAATTTGAGTAATAACATGATGATAAGCGAACTGTGAACAACAATTACAATTCAAATACAGTAGTCAAGCAAGACTTTGCAGTAGTGAAACAGGTTGATGGGTGGGCGGCACACATGACCGACACAACTCGGCACCATGCAGAGCTAGTAGAGCAACCCCCCCTACCAGATCATGCTGGATCCATCCCTGGTTAATGAAAAACATGAGATTGATTATAAAGTTTGTCTCCACTATGTGTTCTTTTATGTCTTGCTGAAGTACTTGAATATCTAATTCTTTACAGATATGATATTCATATAAGGTTTTACTCTATTATGTGTTCTTTTATGTGACAATAACTAAATTGTTTGATGTTGAATGTTTGTTACACATCTTAGCAAGCCTCATATACAGGATGTGCTTGCCTGTATCATGATTTGTTGCAGTGTATGTTGTTTAAACAAATTTGCCATCTACAGCATTGATTTATTTTTCACAATTCTGCAAACTATTAATGGCAGCTGGCAATGTCACATGTAACACAAGGCCGTCAGAAGTGGGGGGCTTGAGCCCCCCCCCCCTAAAATTTCCATTTGTATAAGCAAAACACACAAAATAACTAGAAAAGTGCAAAAGCAATTAAAATTTATTCAGATATATTCTTGAGTCCCCCCAATATTGATTTACTTCCGATGGCCTTGTAACATCCTGCCCAGATTTTTTTTAATTCTATAACGCCCTGTATACAAGGTTAGTACCCTATTGAATAACTTGCACACCTGACACCACTATAAAGAAAAATGGGCCGGCCATTGCTAATGTGCCAGTTGAAAGGTAAGCATGAGCTACTAAGTGTGTTAGCTTATTTAGGTCATGGAACAAGATAATTACAAAAGTAGTAAAAGAGGACACATTAGTTGTGAATATGTTTTTTTTGCTATCCTCACGATAATGTTCACCCAGCATGAAATGAAAAGGTAGTGCACAACCTGTGCAGAGTCCATTTTGCATGTTGGCACACAATTTGGCATTAAAATTGTATATTGTTGATTGCTAGGGGAACAGGTGAGGACTCTGAACCCGGCATTGCTTGACGAGTAAGATACTTAGCGTACTAACCCCAATTACACATACCACATGAAATATCTAAGGTTACAAGGTGGCAATATATTTGTAATACTAATTATATACAATATCTCAAATGCTCAGATGTATGGTAAATTAAATTTGAAGTGCACCCCCCCCCTTTAGATTTTTACACTCCCCTGTTGGCCAAGGGTGTGTACCTCTGTCAACCCCCCTCCCCTCCCCCTATAAACCCAACTGTATGTTGGGATGGATTTACTAGGGGGGGTGCACCTCCCTAGCCCTGGCCAGGGGGGGTGCTATTTTTCATGATAAAACAAAAAAATATTATAGAGACAAAATGAGATACAGTAATTTGAGTGATATCGATAACATGATAAGAAGCAAACTGTGAACAACAATTACAATTCAAATACAGTAGTCAAGCAAGACTTGACCTGTAAGTTGATGGGCGGGTGGCATGCATGACCAACATAACTCGGCATTAGAGCTGGCAGATCAACCCCCCCCCCCCTCCTACCAGATCATGCTGGATCCATCCCTGCCACCATGACTGTTAGTGTTGGTGCTAATTAAACAGTGCAATCTTGAATGGTCTGTGCCAGGCTAGAAAGAGACGATAACAAAATAACTAGATATAACTTAGTACCTCAAAAATTCAAACAGAACTTCACTCGAAAAGTCAATAATTTGTACATTCCGCATGGATTTTCAAGCTCTGTGGATTATGGAATATAAACTAGGCTGTTATTACAATTTTCAAAATTGAAGTTGAAAGTGTCAAAAATTTCTTATCTTGGCCAATCTATTTTTTACTTTTAAAGCATAATTCACTGAAACATATAGATATTAATTTAAACTATGTTTGAGAAAAATTCTGTTATAAAATCTTTTTTCAGATTAATCAGGTAAAGAGTAAGATACCTGGCATATCAGAATATAAGTTCTACCAACCAAAAAGAATAAAAAGATCAAAAAACAACAATAGAAATTATAGAATATAAACTCCATTTAAACTCCACTCCTTAGCTTGGCGCCATATTGAATTTCGCGGTCGCGCTGGTAAAGGCCTGGGGACTAGGTGCTCTACCGTATCTGAAATAGCCTTCACCCCCCTAGATCCGCCCCTGCTATAAATATACGTCGTGGACTCATAACATCCGTTGAGTACTTGTGTTAATTTTTGCGTCGCACTCTGGACTTTCTTGCCTGTTGAATTAATGTTTTTCTTTTTGTATTAAATTAAACGACTCGAAAACCCCAAAATTTCATAAATTTGTACCCAGCGAATTTATACAATATATTGGAATATAAACAAGGAAAAACTCTCCTAATTCCTTACGATAGTTTTAGTCAAATGTCGACAATATACCTTTAAATACATATATTAAAATCCGCGCAGTAGTAGAATTAAGAGAATTCGCGTAGCGCTGGCCGCTGGGTGCGGAAATTTTAGTACTGTGCGAAATATAATCCGCGCGAAAAGCTTTGTGGTAGCCATACTAAAGAAAAAGCGTGCGTTCAAAATACCAACAAGAACTAGAACCATTATTGTATGGTTCTCATTTGCTAAACTTGCCACAAGTCTACCACGAAGAAACGCATTTTGTTCGAGGTTGACTTGTGGGAAGTCTACTCATTTGCCTAATACAGACAATACAATAACATTAGTTCGACGCGAATTTTAATACAAGTATGGTATCATATTTCATAATATAACAAACAATGTAAACTAGCCATACATTTTGCCGAACATAACTTCGGCCCCTTTGGACATATCTTTTTCGTAATAATATTATTGGAACCAGAATCGAAAACACTATTTATAGTGTTATTTCAAGCTTGTGTCTTGAGATTTTCATCTTTTATTTCGGTATTTACAGAATATGTATATTTTTAGCGCGGCCCATGGAACGCACATCAAAACAACGTGCTGTTTAGGAAAAACCGGAAATCGATTCTGTAGGTATGTCGACGTTTGCACGTGCATCGATCGAGCTGTAAACGTGCGTGCGAGTAAAAACCTGATATTTTGAAAAATTCAAAATAAATATTCCTACTCTGTGCCGTATTCAAACGAAACTTTGTACATGAAAGCGCTTGAATACAAGATGTATTTTACTCACATTGACTCTGAGCAAATTCTGAAGAGTTACTAAAGAATACTAAAGCAGGGTGCATCGCCTATTCAATGGGTTAATAAGAGCATTGGCAGAAGTGTTTGTTAACCCATTTACTGACAGTACTCTGCCACTAACAAGTAAAATCGTCTGGCGTTACACAGTGTAAATTGGTCTGGCGTTAGCCAGAGTTTAATACTAAAGTAGTGTGCATTGGCAGCTAATAGGTTAATATCCACTTTTGACCCAATGGCTTCATTTTCATGTTCGCTATTTACTCGTATTCCGTGCACACAATTTAAGAATGAGTTTGTGAACGGGCTTACATGATGAACGAGAAACAAATTTGTGCAGGGTTTACATTGGAGATATAACCGAGAATTGTCTAGAAGTATAAATTTTTGCATTTAGTTCATATGCCAAAAAAGGCAGCACTTTCCTTGCGATAGTAACTCCTAGTTTGAATTTGCACCATTACTCCCGAAAAGGTCTTTTATTTTTTTAAAAAGTTCATAAAATTTGCTTGCGGTTTGAGATTTGTATTCTTGCCTTTTGCACCATAGCACGTATGTCGTTATTTTCAGGCCAGTGTGAACGCCTGAGCAGGCGTCTTGTTTGTAAGTAAATCTACACGCTTTAGTGTGGGGAACTTTAAGACATAACCATATAAAATAAAGCACATTGAAAATTCCTTGGCCCCTCTTGGGATTCAGTTCTCGGCCTCCTTTGACTGAAAATCCCGGCTATGTCTCTGAAGATAGCTATATGAAAGCCTTAAGTTACTGTAAGCCATTGTCATGAGAGGCAAAAAAAAATCCTGCCGCGAAATATATTGGGAAAAAATATCTTGCGCTGCACTTTTACAGGGAAAAAAATTACCTGTCTTGTTCCCCTGGGCGGAAAAATGTCTCGCACAGTTTGTATCTTCAACCCCCTGGGCTTCCCAAAGTCGCTTCCGTCTTTCTCAAGCGCTCCCTTCTTGCTACGCGCGGTCCCTAGCGAGCGACTTGGGCAAGTCTACCCCCCCCCCTCAAAAGTCAAATGGTCCGACCCTTAGTCAAACTCGGCAAACTCATTTGCATTTATTAGCATATTCGTGACATATTGTTTGCTTCACCACCCGCTGTCTTGTGTTGACCTTGTGTTTCTATAGCTCGATAGATTATTGCCATAAAAGTCAAACGTGTGATCCAAATAAAGGAAATCCAGGAAAATCCAAGAAACAGAGATCAATACCGGATAGTTTTTGGAAAAAAATCTCTGTTCTTTAAGCTCAAAGAAGGCCAAGGAGATCTGTCACGCAAGTTGTAGATTTTTGGTTAAAAGGCAGTACTTCGCCTCATGCTGCGTGTCTTGAGTTAGCTGGTTTCTTTACTTCGATAAAAGCTTATCGTGTCCCTTACACAAGTTTTATTTACATTAATATAACTACAGAAGACTGAGTTATAGTTTACAAAAGAAATCAGTTGCACATGCCTTTATTTAAGCTATGATCGGGGAGCCGTTTTCTCGCTGGCAGATAGGCTATGACCTCAGGGGAAAACCAAGTGTGCGCAAAGACATGAAATCTGTCTCAGGAAAAGCTGCGTATCTCAAGGCACTGTAGCTAAATCTGCATGCTGTATATATTGCCATCTATACAATGGATGTATCCGTTTATATATCTCAAAAATACATCATGCACAAATATAAAATGAAAGCGTTTTATAATAGAACTTATAATATAGTCATTCACCGTATATGAGCTGTTCTGCAATCTGATTGGTTGAATTACTCACCGTATATCAGCTCATATACGGCGAGTAGAGAAAAACAAGATGGCGGTCCAAAAACTACACGAGAGTTTGCAAAGCTAAAAAAAGGAAAATATTCGCTTTGAGAAAGATAATAGTACAGGGAAAAACTCTCAAAAAATTTGACAGGTTAGCAAAATACATTTATTACATAGAAATTAGTTTAAATACAAGTTTTTTAAAGAATTAATACCGAAACAACAGCGAAAAAAAAATGTTCATTGAGAATATAAATTGTTCAGAAAAGTTTGCAACGAAAGACAAATGAATTTGCAGTCAACAAGCACTTACTATACTACCAAACATCTGTATAATATATCTGAGCTTTTCTGTGAGATATACCGGTTCTAAAACCATTTCTTTCACTTCGTCTTCGAGTTGTAAAACAAAAGGATTTCAAATTTTCAAGGCCAAGCAGTTTTTTGCCGAACAAATTTTCAAGACATTGTAACAGAGGATAATTATATTATAAAACAATTATACCATTCGCTCTCGTCGTATATGGCTGATAGCCGACTCGGTGCTACGCACCTCGTCAGCTATCAGCTCATATACGACTCGAGCTCATGGTATAATATAATTGTTAAATATTCATCAAACAAATTCTTGCGTGAACTATATATAGCTAGATTTGTTGTTGCCACTTTCTCTGTAGACTGTCGGTATATAGCTATTACTTTAAATAGATATATACACACTGTATTAGTACTAAGTAGCATCAGACAATTTTCCCCAAATTACCTGCACATACTGATGAAGAAACACGAATTTAGGCGAAAAGAGGATGAAAGTTAAACTATACAGGAGGCGAATTTGATATATCGTCTGCGACGACGCCGCGGTGCAGGCTAGAGCTATTTGACGGCAGTTAATAGTTCCGATTGTTATTTGACAGCTAAATAAAATTATCACAATCGTTCCATCTAAATATTGAAGTTTATAAACCAGTTAAAATATATTAGGTTACTTCTGAGCAGTACTGTAATTGTCTCATGTCCCACATTTCGGCAATGTTCGGGTAAAGATTTGACAATTGCTTTGACGAACGACATTCCAAAGTTGAAGACTGAGAAATACAAATATCGCAAATATGATAGTGTCTATATATTCTAAATATTGACCAATATTATCGTAAATCATATACCCCTGATTTATCTGGTGATTCTAGTATTGAATTAACATCACACCCTATAGCCTTCAAATGGAACGAACAGTGTAGGGAAGTGTTGCTTGATATTTTTAACTCTGACGAAGTCAATGATCATTTAGACACTTTACTCAATCCTTCAAACGATAATGATTTAGACATCAACTCCTTAGTTAACGACTTCACAGAAATTATTACCAAAGCATCTAGAAAATGTATCCCTCTCAAGAAACAGAAAAAAAAATCTAGTAAAACGAGAGTAACACAAAAACAGAAATGGTTTGATAATAATTGCTACCGACTTAAAAGAGAACTACGGAATTTAGGAAAATTAATATCAACACAGCCGAATGACCCCTTTATAAGGCACATGTTCTTTACTAAGAAAAAAGAATATAAAAAATTAATAAGGAAACTCAAAAGAAAGTTTCATAGTGAGACTCTGAATAAAATTAAATCCATAGCAGATAGCAACCCCAAAGAATTTTGGAATCTTGTTAACAAAATCAAATCGAGTCACTCCAATTGTTCTAATACAATATCGCATGATGAATGGTTTCACTATTTCCAAGACCTCAATAAAATTAATTTTTCCTCGGACGAAACTCGTGTTGAGGCTCAAATAGTAAAAGATTTTCGTCTCTGGGCAAACACTAGCGATGAAATTCTTGACAAACCTATCTCATTACAAGAAATTTACAACATTTCTAGAAAACTCAAACATAACAAGGCTAGCTCTAGCGACTTGCTAAACAACGAAATTATCAAAACATCAATCACTAGTTTAGCACCTTACTATGTGAAACTTTTTAACACAATTTTATCTAGTGGTGTTTTTCCAAGAATATGGTCGGAAGGATTTATAACTCCTATACATAAATCAGGAAGTAAAACTGAGCCTGGAAATTACAGAGGTATATGTATTTCTAGCTGTTTAGGGAAATTTTTTACTCTAATTCTAAACACGCGTTTAAACAATTTTCTAGAGGAAAACAATATTTTGAATAATTACCAGATTGGTTTTAGACACGGATTTCGAACATCTGATCATCTGCTTGTTCTTAAAACATTAATAGACTCTTATAAATCAAGTCGGAAACCCATTTTTACATGTTTCATTGATTTCAGAAAAGCATATGATAGTGTTTGGCGAGAAGGCCTATTTTTCAAATTGATAAAATATGGATGTAGCAAAAAATTTGTTGCAATCTTGCTAAATGTGTATTCTTCTGTTAAATCGGCGGTTAAATTAGAACAAGGTGTAACCCCGTTCTTTCAATCTCATATTGGAGTGAAACAAGGATGTAATCTGAGTCCAACACTGTTTAATATCTTCATTAATGATATACCTAATCTGTTTAATTCTCATTGTGATCCTGTAAAACTCGATGACACTGAGTTAAGTTGTCTACTATACGCTGACGACTTGGTAATAATGTCAGATTCGGAATCTGGGCTACAACGCTGCCTTCATAATCTTGAAACATATACAAAAAAATGGAAATTGCAAGTAAATTTAAAAAAATTAAAAATCTTGATATTTGGAACACAATCGAAAAGACGACTGTTTATTTCATCAAAATGGTACTTTGGTGACAAACAGTTAGAATGTGTAGATGAGTATACATACTTGGGACTAACTTTTCATTACACTGGTAATTTTAAGATAGCTATAGCGTCACTATACAACAAGGCATTGAGAGCCTACTATTGTCTAATGGATAAACTTTCAAACGTAGAGAATATACCGATAAAGACACTACTAAAACTATTTTCGTCAGTGGTGATTCCAGTCTTATTGTACGGTTGTGAAATCTGGGGAGTGTGCTTATTGGGAAGAATCTCCTCATATGAACTTTTTCAAAAGAAATTGTTTAGCATCGTAAATAAACTGGAGTCATTA